GGCTCACACCTGTAATCAGTGCTAGCACTCTGGGAGGCTTGGATTGCTTGAGCTCAGGAGTTCAAAACCATCCTGAGCAAGAGCGAGACCCTATCTCCAAAACCAGCCAGTTGTGGCAGATGCCTGTAGTCCCAGCTTCTCGAGAGGCTGAGGCAGGAGGATCTCTTGAGCCCAAGAATTTGAGGTTGCTGTGAGCTATAGCTTCACAGCACTCTACGCAGGGGGACAGAGTGAGACTCTGTCTCAAAATTTTTAAAAAAGGATAAATTATGGTAGGAGGCAGAAATAAATATTCTGGTCAATTTATTGATGTCATTATTTATTTTAGTTAATAAATTGTTCTTTACCTGTGACTTACAGGTTTTCCCCCCGTTTTGTCTGCTTCTGTCCTGAGTCTGGACTCTGCCCTTCTCTGTGGGAGGAGGATAAACTCACTTAGGATTCACTTACCTTTGTATCCCAGAGTATTTTCTGTAGATGGGATTTTTGCCTCCACTTGAGTATCTTAAAGGGAAGAAGTCCTAATGTCAGAGTTTGAGCCCAAAAAGGATATTTGTACAGGAATGCTAGTGGGATAGGAGGAAAAACTCCAGTTGGAGTGACCATCAAAGGATGTTCGATGGGTCTGAAGTCTGACCCATTTAAAAGGGCTGAAAAAGCAATTAGAAGTGACAAGGCTGTGTTCACTGCTGAGTTAGTGCAGTGGGTGAGTGGAATGTTTACGCCTGGTGGTTTGGTCATTTTTGTAGTAGACCAAAGCCCAGTCAAGTGGTGTTAACTGAAGTCAGAGTGCACTCGAGCCCCTGAGCCCTGCTGACTGGTTGTGTCTTTCCCGTTTCAGGGAGACGTGTCCCAGGCTGTTGGTCAGGGTGTGGTGGTCGATGAGCTGCAGACGCTGGAGTCCCCTCCTGGCAGTGTACGTAGTAGCCCGAGCTTTGAGTTTTGCTCTGTTGGGATGATGGGCTTTATAAACTCTCTGAAGTAAAGGAGGTGACTGAGTGAGATCAAGTGCTTTACGGCTTGACAGGAGGTTATGGTGTATCTTGAGACCTGAATCTGTCCACACCCACGTCATCGATTGTGTGCCAGGTGTGTGGAAATAACCTGTGTTCATCTCTCTGTACCAACGTCCTGAGCAGGTGTTTCGGAGGCATCCTTGCACCTCTGCACTTTGAGACCATCATGTCTTACAGTATCATAAATAAAAATTTTAAATGTTAGAATTTCTATGGAAATAACTTTAATATTCCTACATCTTGAATTTCACTTCTTAAAAACTATATCGTCTGTCAAAATTACACACTTTGTTGCTGTTGAGCTTTTTCTTAAGTCCTGATTTTTATTTCTGTGTACTAGTTTATACTTTTATGGTGCTAAAATTGATATTATTGCTCTATTAAATATTTTTATGTTTAAGGAACTATAGATTACTAGAGCCTATGAGAAATATAATATAGCTCTAAATATAGGAAGCTATTTCAAAAATACCTTTGAAAATTCTTTAAAATTATATGCAACTAAAACATTTGTAATCCCATACCATTCTGAATTTTATTTGTTATTTTTATTTATTTTTATTTTTTTAGAGACAGAGTCTCACTTTGTTGCCCACTTGTTGCCCATTTGTAGAATGCCATGGTGTCACAGCTCACAGAAACCTCCAGCTCTTGGGCCTCAGCCTCCCAAGTAGCTGTGACTATAGGAGCCTGCCACAACACCTGGCTATTTTTTTATTGCAATTTGGCCAGGGCTGAGTTTGAACCTGCCACCCTTGGTATATGGGACAAGCACCCTACTCACTGAGCCACACACGCCGCCTACCATTCTGATTTTTTTTTTTTTTTTT